AACGCCTATCCATTACCGTGAAAATTTGTATATTTTGTTGAATATTAATAATGTAAGACGATTTTCATACCTAATTAATATAACAAATTTGTGTAGTCAACCTGTTTCGCGGTTTGAAGAAGTGCTACTAAGTTCTTAATTAAAGTACAAAGTCGAGTCGCCCTCATTTTCTTATTGGCCCTCACCCGGAGTGTCTAGTTTTGTATTATTTCCCAAGAGAGTTTTGGGAACTTTTCCGACTCTCGTTTAAAAGGGGTAGCGTTGAAATTATATTATAAAATTGTTGTTCAACAAAATTAAGTAGTTATATTGAGGCCATTTCAGTCCGTAATATCGGGTTATATTAGATTTGTTGATGCGCCGCAAAGTAAAGATTAACTTTATGTTACAGTTTTTGAACTAAGTACATTTTTGGATAAAACGTTTCACTCTAATTATCTATTTATAGTCTCAAATAAATATTCCCTCTTGAAAATGCAGTCTTTGGAAACAGCCTTGTAAGTTGAATAAATGAATTAAAAAATGATAAGGCTCTATCGAAAAAGTTTTTATTAAGAAGGTTAGGACTGGCTGAAATAGGCAAGTTTAGATAACGGACAATAAAAAAAGAGGACCGTCGTCGTCTTATTTTAACGTAATTCTTCTATATTTGAAAACTGTCCGCCCAATTCATTTGAACTACGAAGTATTGACGAGAACTTTTATCCAATAACACGATATCGAGACGCTTGAAAAAACTTAATTACACGACACGATCCACCAAAGATAAATAAAGATTATCCCGAAAGTGTGCCGCGAGTTAATTTCCCAGGGCCAAAGTTGGTCCGGGGCAAATTGGAGAGAAACTTCTCTCTTCATTTCCTGCCTCTGATCCGGGAATTTTCCCATCTGGGAAGCGGGATTTAGGTCCGTCATTACGGACTTTTTCGCAATCCGTGGTCGTGATTCGTTTTACCCGGGATACAGCCTTCTTAGAGGATACCTATTTATCTTGAAAGATTGGAATCAATTACGCAAAGTGACTTTCAAAGTAATACCTTGTCCTTTTCGGAAAGTTTGCGAAAATTTGAGACTATACAAATTATTTATAAGTACATCACGGTATTATCTTTGTAAGCGAGTTGGTATTCGGAGATAATTAAATCTTTTTACAAATCGAAAATAAACTGAATGTTCGACTCGGGCAGGAGTTGAACCTTGCATTGTCAGCGTTCCGTGCTATTGCTCTACCAATTGAGCTACCCAGTCCTACACCTCATCATCAATTTTTTTCAACTTATTGATACATGCACGTCTCGCGCAATGTGATTTCAGCTTTAACACTTGGGTATTAAGGTATTATTTAAATCTTAATAATGTTAAAGCAACTTGTAATAGTATTATAAGCCGTTCGCTTGCAAAAAAATGTATTCAGCGCGTGGCATTTGTATGGCTTCGTAGACCGGAACGACGCGTGCGCATCACTTTGAGCGTACTTCCGGCGTTTGAACAGCAGGTGCGCTGACACAATATGAATTACTTTTACACTTGTTCTGCACGCTTCAACACTTTAGCCGTACTAATTTATAGTTACATTAAAATCATAATCAAGTATTATTTTTTTATGATAGAGGAGAGGTAAGCATGTGGTTTACATGATGGTAGGTGATATACCCTAGCCCTATAACATATAAACAAGATGCACTATTGACTAATTTTGTCTTTGGATATTGAGAAATCCACAGACTGAACCCGAAACGCGATCAAACTTGATGGCTTTTTAATCTGTGGACGGTGGTTCGTGACTCGGGTATTTCTAGATTCCTACCACCCATTTAATATCCACATTTTCAGACGAAACCCATGTTGTAGAAAACCGCTTATAAATTTGTAAAATTTACGACCTGAACTGTGATGTGGCTCTAAATCTTTGACTCGGTAGCACAATTGGTTGGTTAGATCAACAGCACGGAATGCTGTAGATGCCGCTTCAAGTCATGCCTGAGTCGTGTTTTTTCTAATTTATAATCGATTTTTAATTTATATAGTGCCATGTAAAAAAAAAAAATTCAAAAAAATCATAAATTGATTCGGAAGATGTTGGACCCGGTGGGGCTCGAACCCACGACCTGGAATTATAAGCAACACATTGCGTAACACTAACGAGCCCGTGAAATATACTACTATGTATATACTAAATACTGTCTATAGTTTACGTGAGTAGACACATTTAAATAAAACACTTGAACGGATTACAACGCGATATATTAGTTAAACTTATTTGAAAACGGGGAGACTCCCCGTGACCACGGCTGCTGCAAAGCATCCGAAACGTCGGGCCGAAGTTAAAAAATCATTTTCAAATAAGTTTAACTAATATATCGCGTTTTAAACCGTTACAGTGTTTTATTTAAATATTTATATACTCGTTTATTGTTTCTTAGTACATACAAAAAACTTTTAAAATCTTTGATAATATTCCTTCAGAGTAGAACATTTATTGAACGCAAACGAGCCTTATAAACACATAATCAGGTCGGCCACAAATAGGCTTGACCTCGCAGCCAAGTAATCTTGTTTTATTGTCACTTATACGATACATTGTGATGTTGAACCAGAACACACATTTCTATGTTTTCCATTAATTTCCACTTTAATTATTTACAAAATTACAACTCAATACAATTTTACAATTGAAATTGTGCTTTAAAAGAATTAATTACATAGTCGGGACTCGAACCCAAAGCGAACAATAGCATTCTGTGGTGCTATAGCAACAATAGTCGTTCGGTTTGATTTGCTTTCGTTCTAAAATATTTTTTGAATAAATATAAGCTATCATTTGAACTGAAAAGTGGATTTTCAGTATTTCTTTTGAATACATTTTAGAAGATAATAGAATGGGATGAATATGAAATATTATGTATGTCACCTAGAAATAAAGCGATATCCTTTTTCTAGTTTAAGAAAAATCTCGATAAGCATATTACAATATCAATATCCAAAGCCAAATTAGGTCGCCGATGTTATATGGCTGGTGTATCAGCTCCCATCAACACCATGCGTGTCTTTCATCCTTCATCTATATAAAATATATAGACAAACATGGCATTCATTTGATGGTAGGCGATATACAGCCTTTAACATCTAAAAGGTGCACTGTCTACATATTTGGTTTTGGATATTCGGAAATCCACAGAATGAAACTGAAACGCGATTCAGCTTCACGGCTTTTGAATCTGTGGAAGGTGGTTCGTGATGCGGACGGAATTTCTATGTACCGAGCCTAATAGACATTTAAAATCCAGATTACCAGACGAAGTGCAACATGTTTCAACAGAAAAATTATAAATTGAATAAGTAACTACGACCTGTTGATTATTAGCCATATATTCCACCAACGAGTCAACGTCAAATATGTACAGTACATGACAGATAGACAAAAACCACAAGTTTCGATTACGAGTATTTGTTATGTGTTATGTTCACGTTTCAAAAGAAATAGACGTACTCAGTAAAGACAATATTATGATAGTATGTGATAATGCGATTCAGCCGCAGTTTGCTCGGTATGAAGTTTGCCTGAACAATTAGTGCACGGAAATCGTGTTAGGTGCAAGTTTACAGTGAGTCGGCTTCGCTAGCCTGATTGTGTTCAGGAATATTCGCTCCACCTGCATTGTGAGTCACAGGGATCGTGAGGAATATATGAAATCGAATTTTAAAGTATTAAAAACTGAGTAAAATATTTTTAACGCTTTCAAACTCGTAATATATTAGTTAACTCATTTTTACACTATTTTAACTACAGCCCAACGTTACAAAAATGTTTTAAATGTATGCGTTAACTGCAAACAATAATACAATATAGTTTATCGATTAATAGTTAAAATCAACAGGGCTCATGCCCAATTGTGGGAAACACATAAATATTTGTGCACCTTTAACGGTTTAAAACAGTATGTGTGCTAACTCTATTATTACCAACCACGCGACGCAAATATGCCGCGTTTTAAACCGTTAAAAGCTTTTTTATTTATATGTTTGCTATTTATGTTTGTTATTTACAGCATTCAACTGAGTCTGAATCCCGAGATGCCTTAAAATTTTAGCTCCATGAATTTAACTAAGTCGACCTACCACCTTTTTTATTATTTTTGTGGCAATAAAAATATTTTTCATAGTTTACCAATTCGTATTAAAAACAAATGAGAATCAAAGTTTGGTGAGTGCTCTTCTAGACGGGATAAATTGAAAATCGGTTTTCGGTACAAGATAAATTACGAAGAAACAATCCTTGTAATTTATCATGTATCGAAATCCGATTTGCAGTAACATACTGATATATTTTTAACAATGATTTTTTATATTGTATCTTAGTTTGAAATTGGCCTCAATATGATTTGTCTTTACAACGTGATTGTTTTTTTTTAACAATGACACGGAACATCCTATCATAGGTTCTAAACACTTAACGGTTTACACGAAATTTATTAGTTAAACTTATTTACAAATTATTTTAACTTCGGCCCGACGGTTCTAATGCTTTGCAGCAGCCGTGGTTAAGCATTCTTCCATGCTCCAATACGTATACGAAGCGTGGAAGAACCATGTAAGAATAAGAAACACGTAAAGGAAGAAGAAGAAGAGATAAGAAACACAAACATACATGACCTCAAGTTATCAAACCCCGGGCGTTTGTTTCTATATCGAAAAGTGCTAAATCCCAAAACACCCGCCATCTTTCCTCCCTGACCATGGCTCTAAAAGTGTAAAGCATCCGAAACGTCGGTCCGTAGATAAATTAATTTGTAAATAAGTTTAACTAATTCATATCGCTTTTTAAACCATTAAAAGCGTTTATTTAAATGTGTACTACTCTTGTAAACTAGAGACAAAAAAACAAATAAAAACAGAATCAACATTATGGCACGCCACCCTACATACAACATATTGTCATTTTTAGGGAAACGCAAATCAAATAACGAACGCGTCATTTTCATTTAGTACAACGTTTGGTGATGTGGGGTCGAGAAGTGCATTCTCACCGAGTGCTAATAACCATTAGGACGAAGTTCATGGCCCGTGACGTACACATTAATAGTTACCTTATTGTGGCTACTTGTGGGGTAGAAATATTGGGGGTCCTTAAGCAAATCGATTTGAGAAAGACCGATTTTCACTTATTCTTATTCGTGTGTAAATGAGAATGAAATTATGTTAGTTCTGTAATTTTATTTCATTCAAAGCCAACACTAAACCATTATAATAGTACCAATTTTTAAAGCTAACTGCCTTTTTTTAAATTTATGCCCCAGTTTGTTTTGGAAATCTCCTCATCATTAGAAGTTTCCTAAGATTAGCCAAACAAACAAATTAACTCTTCAGCTTTATATATTAGTATAGATCATGCTTAACGCAATGCCATGCAATACGCATAAGAATTGACTATGGAGGCAGTCATAGTCATACCAAAATAATAAAAATAATAATTTTGTAGAATAAATATGTCTTATACCTTTAAATAAAACACTTTTACTGTTTTAAATGCGATAATTATTAATTAAACTGATTTGAAAATTATCAAATGTCAAACATTTATAACATCAAAAACTGCTACGCTAGCGCCATCTCTGCCATCGTAGTTGGTATTTAGCGAAACTGGCCGGGTCTCTGCAGAATTGAATAATTAAACAATTTAAATGTGTCCTACTGTCTAAAGTGCATACATTTCTTATACCCACATTATGTAGACAAGTGAAATGAACTATATATTTTAATAAATTGATATATTTCCAGGGCAAGGCTAAAAGGGAAGTCTCCTTGGAAGAGTTAAGGGACCACATTCACCAGTACTATATTCCTCTTGGACGACAGTTCATGGTGCTGTTCCCTGAAGGAGGCTTTCTGCATAAGAGAAGAGAGATAAGTCAGAGGTGTGTAAAACTTTAAAACAAACATCATTTAAAATACTTACTTACAGTCATTATTCATGGTGTTGAATGATGTGACTTGGGGTTCGATTCCCGGTCAGAAAAGTTGGCCTTTTTTTACTTTTATCACTTGTTTGGTCAACAGACCATTTCGTTTTGTCGTGTGTGACGAAATAGTGGTATTAATCAGTTGAAAAATCTTCATATCATGACTTCTAAGAGTGAGAAGTTTTGAGCAGCTTGTGATGTTAGTGCGATAGGAATATTGTAGGTATCTGTAACAATAGACAAAATATTAATAAATGAAACATTTAGCACATGAGTATAAGTATAAAAAAATCCTTAACTACTTAAATAACTCTTTTTTTTAATAAATAAATGTTCCAGAAAGCCTAGGTAGTATATTATCTTACCTATTTATTTAAAAAGTATACAATGTGTATCATAAAGAAAATGCCTAATCTAACCTGATGTTTTAATTTGCTAACCGCTCTATACAGACCTAAAAACTTCTTGCATTATAAAAAAAAACTAATTTACGAGGTAAACAAAACTTGACGGTTTAAAATGCGAAATATATTCATCGATATTTTTCCTACGATCAGTCTCTTTGTAAAGCAATCGCATAAATTATAGACAAAACTTAAGTTTGCGTTATTTACGTTTCCTTTGTATGTGGTATAAGGTATGATATCTACTACTCTGCCAATTATTTGTGTATTGTTTTAACGAGCGAAAGTGCCTTCAAACACACTCCAGACAATACATCGATGCTTTGTTTTCCCTTCCAATATATATTCAAGTTGATTCGATGTTGTTTTATTATGTATATGAAACAATCTTTAAAATAAAGTATGTAAATAATTTTTCTATGAAAGCTAGATAGCTATATAATAAGTACAGTTATGAATATCAATACAACTGAATGTCCAAAGCCAAAAAGCCAAGGTAGACAGCTCATCTATTTTTCTTTATCAACCTGCCTGTAGGTTTAGGTAAATATTTACATAGATACTTAGTCTAAGGAATGTTAAGAGCTTCATTGAGTATATGCCAATAAACAATGTATATATTAGGTTTGCTGAGAAAAACAACCTTCCAAAGCTGGAGTACGTATCATTGCCTCGCGCTGGAGCTATGAAGGTAATCATGGAAGAAGTCGGACCACACAGAGACCAAGCTGGCACATCCAAAAGCGACGATAGAAAAGGTAAAATTCGTCTTTATATACAATAATAGGCATAGGCATAGGCTATCTTAGAGCCAGAGAACCCGGTTCGGAGACGGTATCTCACCACACAAAATCCTTAATCCGACGTTATTTCAAAATATACAGTTGTCAAACCGTCTATCATCTATCAATGACAGATAGTCATACGTCATTGCCATTATATCGAAAATGTTAAAATCACAAGTATTACTTGATATTTGGCAGAATCCATTTACAATGGGAAAACCAATAAAGAATAAGTATTACCTGACGCTGTCCGTTCTAGGCGTTAAACAAACTATCTCGATTATTTATTGATTAAGTAAAATTATTAACTTTATTATATTATAGTTTGATGTAGAACTTTTGAATTTTATTTTAATAGTTAGATATTGTGCTCTTAGACCACAAATTGACCACCATGTTCCGTCTTGGAGCATGGATTTAAATAATTCATTACTAAATTAAAACTTACCTACAATTTCTTACATTTAAAACTTATGAGTTACATTTTGTAAGTAATCAATAGCAACATCAATTTCCTAATAACAATACTTATAATTTCAGACAACAACTTCAACCAGAATAACGTGAAGATCCTGGACACGAAGTCGGGGGATAATATCGAATGGATCCTGGATGTGACAATCGCTTACCCGGAACGAGTGCCTCTACATTTGGCGGATGTGGTGTGCGGATTTCGACCAGCCTGCACTACCCATATACACTACAGATTGTATCCTAGCGCTGAGGTTCGTATTCATTCCACTAAAGCCACACGGACTGTCATATACAAGGTTGTGTGTTGGCTCTGTGTAGATGAGAGGAATTATTCAGTTAGTTGAAGAGAGATCGTACTATATACATACATAGAGAATGATATTTACAAAGGATAAATTGTTTATAAAATCTAGATTTAGGTGTACTAAGGTTACCTTTAAAATATGAGGAAGGAAATTATATTTATTGTTTGTCTAGAATCATGAATTTAAAAATCTGTAACCCTCATGATTCTAAAAAGCTTATAATTAAAAAAAATCCTATTGACGATCAGAATTACATCTCTAAAAATACTAATACTTTTTTTTCTATGAACGTTTATTAAAAACACAATATTTACAATTGAAACCTATTATAACATAGGGATATATTTTGAAGTAGTAACCATCAAGATGAATGAGATGTGAGTATGGAATAAAATTTCTGTTATTTCAATCTTTTTTAACCTTAAATACATTTTTTTAATTTGATATAAACTGTAATACTGTCTGTAGTTAACGCGAGTAGTACGCATTTAAATAAAACACTTCAACGGTTTAAAACGCGATATGTCTACGCGATATATCAGTGTACCCGTGAAAATGGCTGCTGCAAAGCATCCAAACCGTCGAGCCGTAATTAAAATAACTCTCAAACTATTTAAACTACTATATATCGCGTTTTAAACCGTTAAAACATTTTATTTGAACTATAATAACATACTACAAGTTCATATATTGATTTTAAGAAATAATTTTATTATTGTGTTTGTTACAGGTGCCCTCAGACCCCGAAGCTATGACCACCTGGCTGTACGATCGTTTCATCGAAAAGGACAAAATGCTAGAGGAGTTCTACCGCACTGGGCAGTTTCCGCCGAAAGGAAACACGCCCCTAGTGACGAGACCAGTGAGACAGGACAACGTACGATATTTCATTTTGCATTTATTCTTCATAGCGTCTACCTTTATTCAATATAAGTTGTGGTGTGCTATGTGGAGTTGTATTTGGTAACGGTTTTATACGCTTTTATAACGTTAGCATGTCTGTAACGCCGATCTACCTTCTTGACAAATTAAAATAACCTAAAAGAACAGGAGATATAAAATTTACGATTGTTGTTACTAGTACTTCAATTCGAAAATATTTTATCATTTAGTTGAGAATTGCTCCCGGATTGGCGTTACAAGTTTGCTGCGATGACTTTCTACAATAGTAGAACTTTCTAACCAAATTGCAGTGGCACACACAAAGGCGTAACTATTTTTGCTAGGTAGGCGCATTTGAGTATGTCACGATTCGATGTATCGTCTTACGTGGACTATTGTGAACCAAATATTTTAGGATTTGTAAGGCCATTCTGATCTTCATCTACACTGTATTCATGAAACAGAGAGATTTGGATATTTGCATTTTGTGGTATGCAATTACCAAATAAGTAGCACATTATATCAAAAAGTTCTGGAAGTTCTAGTTATATTAAATAAATCTGAACTCGAATATTTCAGGCCCCTTTTCTAAATAAATTTTTATATCATAAAGTGTTCTATCAAGTATTTTTGGCCATAATTTGTGAGTATGTAAATCAAACAATGTGGATCAATTTTGGCGGATGAAATTAGATAAATTTTATAATTTCTGTAATTTACCGCAACGTGAGACAAAGTTTCATTTACAACTAGTGTGAATTGTTCCTATATTTTGCTGTATGTTACTGCAACACATTCTCTACAAGTACACATTTAAGGTGCATAATTCAATTTCATATTAGTTTTAAGATTTATATTATTTCTTGTGTGGCATGTTTTGTTGTAAGTACATTGTCATACTCATCAAATACTTTGAAATTGAATAGTATAGTGTTCTATAGACAAGTCTTGTAATACAAATCTAAATTAATCAGGCTTATGACAAACAATTAAGTTTTTTGCTGATGTTAAATTCAACTTGGAACGATGTGGTATTCAAATCGTGCTGTGACAAATAAGTCAATATTTTAATTCTTCTAGTTTTAGGTTACTATTTCTGTATACTGTATGTGAACAGAATGTATCAATTTGATAAATAATAGACAGAGAATGCAGGAATGTACTTTGTCAATCTCGCTGATCCAAAAATTAGCGCAGTGCAAACGCCGACGCGTCTGGCGATAGAAACTCTGTCTGTATAGTGAGAGGTGCGTTTATAAAAAGGTTGAAGAAATGAGATAGGGTTTACTGGTTTAACTCCCATCTGTGTCATCCATCGAATTTTTACAGTCTAAAATCAATTTTTAATTTAGCATTGTACCAAGTTCGCCCTACGCGTCGCGCTTCGCACCGTCGATCTTTATAGCCAGGTTTAGATATTTGCTTGTATTCTGATTTAAACTATCTAACTTTTGAACCACACACAATGGTAATCGCGTACAACATTAAATTTCTTATTATTATACCACTCTACCGAATTCTTTGTGAAATCACTTTGTTGTACCATACAATGTTCTTCTCGTGTTTTAGTCTAAGTTTATTGCGTGATTGCTTCTTTATTTTTATTAGAACTAGTTTTTGTTGAGTGCAACTTCTTATACTCTTTGGTTGTCAAAAGACTAGATTTACGGCGATGAAAATACGCCGTTCTCTTATATATCATATGCAGGTTCGTTATTAAGTAATCCATCATTTCTATAATGCCGGAATGATTTGCCGTAAGTGCCTAGGTAATTGGTAAATATCAGTAACATAAAATAGATATATATCAATAGTACTTTTCGCTGTACTTAACATTGTTCTGTTTAATTTCTATATTCGACGTGTGTGACTTCGAGTTGAAGGTACGAAATATATTTCATTTCATTAGACTCCAATTCAATTTTAATTAATATAAAAGCCTTTTCCGAGTTACATACAGACTACGTACGCTGTTTGCTAAGCTTTGACAAGGTATTGCAGATTGATATTCTCGTTCACTGAGGAGAGACTATATTTTCAGGCATGTATATATCATAATATATACTCAAGTAACATAGCGTTGTAAGGAAAAGTTTTGCCTCCGGTTTATAATAGTTAATTTGGATAAAACACTTTTAACGGTTTAAAAGCGAAAAATATTATTTTTAATTATATATTTCGCGTTTTAAACAGTTAAAGTGTTTTATTTTAATGCGTAAACTGCAGAGAATACATAAAATAATTCTGTTTAAGAAATGTGTCCATATCACGCGCTGTGTTAAATGTTTTATAATTCAGATAGATAGTGCATAGTTTTAATATTCACAGTTTATTGTAGTGAAGCTTTTTTGTACACGGAATTTCTGTATAAAAGAAAATCAATTCGTCATATAACTGCTTTATTTCAATATCGACTAGATATTATCGAGAATGCTTTATTATATACCTGGCTGCTTTATTATGTTCCAGGCGGTTTCCACTAAAAGTAACAATTTCCTTTTGCGAGTGAGAAAAATCTGTGACAATATTTTTTACTGCATTCGAGTCCTATCCAGTTCCTTATTAATTGTGCCTTTAACAGAATTGAAAATTATGCCAAAATTGAAGTCTCTTTCTTTTACAACAAAACAAAACAATACTCCGAGGCGACGGAACTTATTCAGTTATCGATAACGTTATTTGATTTCGATATCCTGCAATCGTAGTAACTGGAGTCAAAAGAAATCAAATTCGTCTGAGAAAAATACTTATATTCAGTCCATCAATCGCATTTTTCATTTTTTTTATTATGGAATTGTAATATTTTTTTCACGGGTTACATTAGTTGTAGGATGTTATGTTATTTTTTGTTTCAAGTTAAGTTTTGTTCCTAGGGTAAAGAACAATTTTCATTTAATTAATTTTCGCTTACGATCGTACTTTGTCCATTTATACGCACTTTGCGATCCTAGTGTTTAAAATGCATTGTGCATAATATTTTTTAGTTTCTTAATGTATTTTGTGTGTGATATGGCTTTAATTTTTCACGTTTGCCAAGTCATTACGAAAGTGGAAAAATCAGGGATAGTGGTATATGATGAGTGAGATATATAGGTTTAAGAGAAGCTATCGCATCTTCATTTAGTTAGAAAATGTCCTTTTTTTTTCAATACATAGTATAAATGATAATACTGTTTTCAGTTAACCGTTTTTAAGTATTACGACTTACTGCCATAAAATGACGGTAGTTTCCCCGAATACTAACCTTAAATTAATGTATTCACTAACCTGTATATTGCTGACTGTAATGAGTGGTGAAGAAAAATGCAAATGTGTTGAATATGATTTGTAATTATCGTGGGCTTACGATATTATATCATTTTTATGTGAATAGAAGGATTGATAACTCATTCGGGTATAAGCGAGTCGTACAATGAGATTAAGTAAACGCTGTTATCATTCGAACCGAAATTTCACCTCGGTATTACCGAACCAAGTGCACACTGTAATCTGTAATTTTAAACAGATGTAACAGTTACGTTTACAATTCGCTAGTGAGTACCTGGCTTTACAAAAAACGTACGAGTTTCTCGCGAAATAATATTACTATTGTGTTATAACATTATTTTTTAATGTGTTTCTTTTTCAACAAACATACTTTTAATTAATGTTTTTTTATTGTAAGCTCCGATAAGCTTGACCGCTGTACATAGTTTTGCGAAGAATGCTCCCAGCCTATCTTTGAATAAAGCACATTGTGTCACCCAAGTTTTGTGTTTTATTATATAACTGCCCTATTAATATCCCTATCTCATAGGTGAGAGGGGTATAGAGTTCAAACCCACAGCGCTTGTCCGCTGTTGGTTGGCGAGCTCTCACGAGCACCGCCAGATGTGGTAACCGCGACTGCTGGTAATGCTTTTGAAGCACACCTCATTTTTTTCCTACTTTTTTTGGCCCCAAATAAATTTTCTATCCAATACGAAAAGATTTATTTTAAACCCGATCAGTGATCATTTCAAAATCCGATCAAACACTCTTTTTATTATTATATATTCCTATAAAGAGGTAATATATATACATAATATAGTTTACAATCATCTCTATATAGAAATACAGGTCCTTTGACTGTTATTATTACTATAGTCTTACGTCCGTTCTAGAGTTTATTGGTTCCGTTGATCGAATACGAATCTTTGTTTCGACACGAGATAGTCGTCTTTAACGTAACGCAATATGGTTGTCATTAGAATATCTAGCTGGGGTCTTGTCGCTAAGCTATGATATATTGGTAGCTGGATAAATAGTTCGTTCAGACATTATTAGGTTCCGTGGTTTCCAAGGGCTTCGTGGAAACCACCGCTTAGAGATGAAATTTCACTTAGGTGTTCTAAATGTAATCGGATATTTATATAGGACTCTTTATTTGAATAAAACACTTAAACGGTTCAAAACGCGATATATTTTAATTAAACTTTATGTAGATCAGATAAACTTCCTACAAACATTATATATATAGACTTAGAGTAAATATCGATCTTGTAACTTCTACTACAAAACCGATACGAATAAAACCATTAAAAAAATATTACACTGAACTTATCTTTGATTCCATATTTTATTACATATTTTGAAGTTTCTTTTACTGTCTACGCAGCGCACGCAATGGGAGCCCTCAAAGATGAATGATTTTCTTCGTTTTGTCATCATTTTCCACTAATTATTCGCTCATAGCCTTTGCCTGATGTTATGTACCTAGCCTAAAGCCTTCTTCAATAAATTGTCTAGGTAGTAATCTGAGATTAGCGCGTTCAAACAAACAAACTCTTCAGCCTTATAATATAAGTATAGAAATGGAAACGAAATGGACCGATTGATAACGTCTTTGTAATAATAATTAATCAAAACTATTGTTAAGTAATTAACTAGAAAGCCTCAAAACAAACGGATCGGGCGAGTAGCGGTAACTATGTCGCTCCGGTATTTATTTAGGATCTAATCTGATTGGCAAATGTACGGTGTTTCGGATAATTGTGTGATTTCGTCGACTCTTTGATTGGACGACACAAATCAAATAAAACCGAATTCCAAGTCATTATTGGACTG